GTTCTACTAATCTTTGTCTAATAGGTCGGCATGTCTCACTAACATAACATCGACCACATGAGCAAACAATATTGTAGCGGCCAGATCTCGATAAGGGGTCATATTTCTCTCTAAAAGATGGCATGAAAACTAAAATTGAAATATATGGCATAGGCCACTAGGTGTGGGAGTTATTAGGTATTTCCCACCGTGTGCTCCCATTAGATGAATGTAGGACCATGATATTGGCAGCAACGAGGCGGATCCAAATGGAGCCGCAGTAATGACATTATCATGACCCGCCCCCTGACTGCTTGTCGCTACTGCCTCGGCTCTCTTGTTCAGCCAAGTGGGTCCGGATGGATGTCGCGGGAGGTAGGGCGCCAGATGGGCCTTAACGCCTATTGGACCAACGCCCGGACCTCCGCCGCCATGGGGGATGCAGAATGTTTTGTGCAGGTTAAAGTGTGAGACATCACTGCCGTAATCACCAGGACGACAGAGACCCACCTGACGAAGTAGAAGTTTAAGAGGAAAGAAAACAACATCAAAGAATAAGAGAAAATTCCCTTAAATTTTTACGGATTTAGAGGCAGGCTGCCGAACTAAAAGTCAACTATGGACGTACTTGCATTCCAGAGTTTATCGGAAGCTCTGCTTAATATGAATTAAAGATGAGGGTAGTTGCATTAGTGAGCATTATCTGCAGGCCATTCACAAATTATGTTCGCATAGAGATTAAGGCGTCACTCATTAAATAATATTTTAAGTAATAGCTCTTTTGTCCCATTCTATCTAATGCGTAATAGAAGGCTTTAAGAATACAAGGAAGCATAAGTTAACATCAAAAGGCATAAACTTGAGGAGAGCAATTAAAATATGAGAAAGTGAAATGACAGGATAAGAGAGCATTATTCCTGACCCCAGCCTGCTTTTGGAAGGATGGTATAACACAAACTTTATTTATACGAAGAAAAGTTGGATTTCGAGGAATCTCTTGATTCATAATTGTTGAGCTTATTTCCATTTCGTGTGGAAATGTTGGGTGAAGAGATTTGAAGGTCGGTTCCACCAGAAGACGACGGCGAATTCCTCTTGACCAACTGTCGATTGGCTAAGTGACGCAACTAGTCTTTTCTTATTTTGGTTTTAATGATAGTCAATTCTCTGTCTTTTAAGTTCACTGTTTCTCTCTCGCATTGAGACCAAAAACCAAAAATAGGCTCATCAACAAAACCAGACATGTCCGACCTTGCGCAATCGGAGTGATGGTTATAACTTAAATGTAG